CCACAGATCAGAACATTGAGTCTAGAGCATGTCTCTTACGAATACACTCATGTTTAACGATTTGTTCCTAGCTATCTGTCCAAAATTCATATAATTATCACTCATGTATTTAAATTTTGTTTTGATAACCATTCATGTGTATTAGTAGTATTACTAAATTCTATCACGGTCAAGTAAAAATGAGGTTGAGAAAATCTCCCCGTAACTAAATAAACCGTATCAAACTAACTGGAACACTAGTTGGAATTCTTCTCCACGGTATACTTTTGTTCCTTCAGTTAGCCTACTAATACAGATGCAATTGGAATTCAACTCATATGGACAACTTACCGGCATAATCGTTATTTGATTTCATAATTTAAACCAAAACTAATACCAATATTAACATTTCTACAATATTCATTACTTTAATATTTCTAAACACAAAATACTTACTACCTATACGTTAAGTTATTAACTTACGCATCGTTTTATTATTATTATTATTGTAACCCCATTTTTTATAGCTCAAATAATCTTCACCCAAATTTTCATTTCAAGCGTTTTAAGCATGAAGGCAGATATTTTAAAATTATTACATGTATTTCCCGACCAGATGCTGCCGCTTCTTTTTGATTTATCTTTCAGCTTACCAATACCCGGAGGATTCTTATTATCCTTGGTAACCTCCGGCGCGCGACGATCCCATCCAATTTGGTATCGAACCAACATCACGTTGATTCTGGTGGGAGAGTAGTGTAGTGGCATTGGACAATAGCCACACAATCCACAAAGCTGTGAACACGAGACTACTCAGAAAATAGATATTCAATATTTAACGCGGAGAAATACCTAACAATGGAGAAGGCGCGAACAATGAATTGAATGGACTGGAGTTGATCGATGGCATGGCTCGGCCATGCAGGCGTGGTCCATCTCAATGTTACTTATATCTTCTATTCATATTAAATATATTGTTCTTTCTCTAGCCTAACCTTGTTCTACATCATGTATTGGTAATTGATACGATACAGTGAGTTGGTGTAGTCGATGGTGTGACTTCCACGTAAGATCTTATAGATTAGGCAGTTATATCATGACAAATCTACAAATTTAGGATTAGGTCTATTATTAGAGCAGTACTAATATCATAGTAGACCATAATTCTACAACTCCATAGGAATGAGCTCAGTAAAAGCTTTTGATATTAACCTAAGTATCCTGCGAATGCTAAATTTCTTACCGTAAGTCATTGGGGCTAGTGAAGAGGAATGTTTAAGACTGATAGTCGCATTAAAAAGGATGTAAGTGGAAATCACTTGTGAACTATATGGACTAATTACCACTTTGTCTAGTCTGAGTGTTATTCGCGAGGAACCCAAGTAAATTAAGCCTTCCAAGCATTATTGAACTCAATGTTCACAAATTTTTTGAGTTTCAAGTATTACTGTGGATATTTTATCATATTATCAGGTTGATTGTGAACATTTGTACACTTAATAACATTACAAAGTTGTAATTCGGCAATAAAGGATTCATAAGCGTGTACTACATTCCCTATACGAAAAGATGTAGCTGGAGTTACACTCAATATCTTCAGCGTCTGTTAAGTGTGCTATACCCATTACTTTTGACCATATCTCCATCCGTTTATCCAGTGAGTGTTGCACATTAAAGCGTAACGTGTATTGATGATTTGATTTCAAGCGTTGAAATAGAAACTCCGAAGTCTTAGGTGAGGATACAACAATTGTCTTCAGACTTGATTCTTGTGATATAGGAAAGTGGGCAGTAACTTCCGTTACGTCGACTTTCAAAAATACATTTATAAACTACATAGGATCCTTTATGTAATGGTTACGATATGTGGTATAATGTCGCATATCGCTTTCAAATGCAAACACCATGACCTTTAGTGATTACATCTAATTAAATTCGTTAAACAACAGATTTGAAGACGCTACAGATACTCAAAGTTTGACGACGCTTTTGTCAGTAGAAAATTAATAATTGGAAGACCCCAACCAAGTCAAATCAGCAGTCAGGAATGAACATTTAAAAGATATATTTGGAAGGCAGTTTATATGCTGAGAAGCGTTTGATGTTGTTGGCTAGTTGTTATGAGGAGTATGTACCTAATGATGATCTGGTGCGGATGTGCGACTGAACGCTATCAGATAGGGTGTATCTAGTGAAACTAAGGAGGTAAGGATCAACGTTAAGACCTACAAAACTACTTATTTTGCAGACTTATTTGCCACTACAGATTCTTTTTCACAACAACTGGAAATAAGATTTAAATAGCAATCATTTGAAAGTTATTTTATCCTCCATATCCTCTCATTCTATACAACCCTTAGACTTTCTGTCTAATAGCATACAAATTAATAATGGTTCTCTCTCAAAACCTGTGATTTAACATGCTTAGTTTCCTGCTTTCATTACCCTCATATTAAAATTCATCATATTATTCTTGACGGTTGTGTTACTTTGTTTGGCTAAACTATTCAAATAATGACTGAAGTTTAAGACCATCGTTACTGAGTGAAAATTTATCAAATAAGGTAGATTGACACGGATTAGAAGATCCCATAGTTTCAGCATCTGTTCACGACTGTTAACGGGATTAAAATTTCTGGTATTTGTCTGCATGTTCTGACTTATTAAATAAACTGTCCAACAATGTAGCCAAACAAATTGTTTGTATCAAAGTTTCCCTGCGGGATGACACCAACCAAATAGGCAAGTACTACTGTACAGTCATGACCTATGAAAGTTGAAAGTATATAAGTATCTTTTTCCTCTCCACCTATTTTCTAGTTTTAAAGTTCCCAGGATAGCGGTCAGGTAAATCGATTTATTAAAATGTCAATAATTCTTTAATATTGGTCAGTTAAAAGAAGTGCTATGGAGAGATTAAAGTAAACGATTAGGAGACATGGTGTATCATAAGCATATATCAACCCAAAAAGTTTGCTGATGTTTAAAATCCAACAGTACTAAAACATTTCAAAGCATTAATAGTACATAATCTACTGTGCGAACCAGTAATTCCATGAACAAACCATTATATATGCAAATAGTCACGACTAGAGCAGAACTGAAAACAGCTAACTCATTTATATGTATTGTATTTTGAAATCGGGATAGCTCAACTGTGTTTACAAGACAATTATTATTTTTAAAAAAATCTCCACAAGTGCTTGTAAAAATATGTTTTTCGGCAACATGAATGATAAATGCAATTTTAAACAAAAAGACTATTTTAAAGTTATTCACAGATTAAGTTATCAATTATCTTTACAAAGTGTGATACTATCTATGAGATTTTTATATTATTAGGTACAACCTTGTGGCGTGGGTCGAGTTGCAAATGACTATGAACATCACTACAAGAAGACTACGTGCCAGTTAAGCGATAAAACCCCCTGTAAGCCAAATATCAGAAGGCAGTTGATGGCTGTAGTCGAGATGTATTTGTTGACGATCTCGTGGTCTCGAAAGGATACCGAGATCGTGCCAAAGGAGTACAAGCGTGGTTACCCAGCGTAAGTAAACCCGTGCAAGGTCACAACCAATCGAAGGATAATGGAGCAGTAATATAGCTGTCTTTAGAACAGTTTAAACAAACGAGCACAGTAAAACAATCACTGGTACAATTGGTTATAATAATGATTTTTTTCCCATTAAATCAATCGCGTTCTCTTCATAAAAGTAGGTCACTACAACCTCATGAGGAGCTTTGAATGTACACTGTCAGAAAATCTCAAACTACAACAAAATCTTCACCCAACAGTACTCCATAATATTCTTTATATTATAGCAACTCACGTGCAATTGAGTTTGTTCTCATTCAATTCGGTCAAGCCATTTTGTTAACTTATTTAGCGAACAGAGCCATCCGTAATATAACAACTTATTGTACCTTTATTATTAATTGTTTGTTTTAAATATGTAGGCTTGAATATTACTTACCGCCTACGCATATATTCATTCTGCTAGCTTTATTATTAACTGCTTAATTGATTCGACGGTCCATTCATTTCCCTATATAATAAAGATGTAGTCTCTGCTTCTATTCGCCTTCTGATTTCAGACACCGTTGAGTATTATATGATAACGCTTACGAGGGTGATTAGTCAACGAAGCACAGCCACTACAATATAACCTTATTTCTGTATCATAAATGATCGTCTAATTTAAGTTTCAAATCATTTGTTACACAATCTTCTATCTAAGATTTAGTTTTGATTAATAATATCGTGTTGTCTTATATATATCTTTTAGTTACTTACTTACGCCTGCTACTCCTAATGGAGCATAGGCCGCCGACCAGCATTCTCCAACCCTCTCTGTCCTGGACCTTCTTTTCTAATTCCATCCAATTCTTTTAGTTACTATACATAAAATCTTAGAGTTAAATCAAAGAAACAATATGAACAGAATAGAATCTTGTCAATTTGTATATTAGATGAAATACTGAACATAATTACTTTTTTTTTAACGATATATGACACAAATAATAGTTTGTTGATTTATTTCATATAAAGTTATTCAGCCTATGGCTACATAAATTTGAAGAAAAGCAATTCCCAAAACAATCACTATTAATAACAATAACAATATTAATGCAATAATAATAATAATAATAATAATAATAATAATAATAATAATAATAATGGCTAATTTAATTAGTTATCAGATATATAACATTGATGTAACACAATTCATTACTTATTTACTTATAATAGTGTAGCATCCGTTATTATTATTATTATTATTATTATTATTATTATTAAAATTAACTAATTTGTATACTTGTTCCATTCAATATGTATATATAGGATTGTATCATTAGGTAATGTTCCTTGCCTATTAACCTATTTTAACCAATCAAAATATTTTGATGAAAGAGTATATATATACAATTTTCTTTTAAATGAAACAGTATTATTTATCAATTATACTATAAAATACATTTAATAATATAAAACTAGTTTATTTTATTATTGTTATCATTTATCATAATGAATAGTAATTCGTCAATACGATCTAATACATTGAAGCATTCATTATGTAATAATCTTTATTCATCATTTATAACAAATACATCAGATTTAACAACAACAAATTCAGCAACAACAACAATAACGACACCAACAACAACGACAACAGCAATGACGATGACAACAACAAACCAAAAAGACAACTTATCAATGATAATAGAACATAAACCAATATTTAATCGTTATCAGACTACTACTAATATTTATAATTATAATAATAATATAACTGAAAATCAGTTGAATCTTTATAAAAAACAATATTCTCGTGAATATCAACGTTATAAACGTGCATCATTACAATATCGTTATGCGCATGCAGCACGTGAACGTCAACGTGTAGCGGAATTTAATAAAGTATTTAAAAAATTACATAATTTATTACCAATTCATAATTATTTATCATCAAATCGACGTTTATCAAAATTGCAAATACTTAAATTATGCTCTTCATATATTTATTATTTAACTTGTTTACTTCAAAATAATAATAATAATAATAATAATAGTCATTATTCTACATTCAATGTTCAATATTGAAATGAATGATTTGTATTAGATGCATTATTGAATATAATATGAATATTTAATTTTAGTTTTTTCTGTCTTTTGAAATACTTCATTGAATAAAGTAATTACTATTTCAGAAGAGGTTGTTTTTTCTTGTTGTTGTTGTTGTTGTATATTATAGTAAATTTAATAATTTCAATGGTCAAGATCACGTGTCAGTTGAAGCTAGACCACCATGGAAAACCTGGAAGAACTGGACAGCTGTTTTGTCCTATTATGGGACTCCACAGCACTGCTGATCCACGACCTCGCCTCCTGCGAGATTCGAACCCATGATCTACTGGTTTCGCACGCGAGCACTTAAACACTAGATCACTGAGCTGGCCGGCATCCGACAGTGTTAATGTCTAACTTCAACTAATCCACGAAATTGGGCGACACATCTACCTTTGTCATCAGTGAGTTACTACCTCACAACTGACCCGGTTGAACTCCACTGTTCAGTACTTCTCACTAGAACTCCAGGATATAACTCGTGAAGCCAGTCACTAGTGAGCATATGTTGATTAATATCAGATGGGTTTTGTGGAGATTGTAGTAATTTCAATGGTTAAGATCATCAGTCAATAGAATCTAAACCACCATGAAAAACCCGGAAACACTGGATGGCCGTTTCGTCCTATTTAATAGTCAGTTAAATGTAAGTAAAGATCAAAAGATCTTACAGAAACTATGAATATTTGCAAAATCATTTATCACCACTGTTCTGTTCTTAATAAAAACACTTATATATTAACATCTGATAACTTTCCTGATTATGAATGAAAATATGAATATCATATCGGACATATGATTAATGTAATTCGAATAGTCTACACTATCATATGAATAGATATCCTTATTCTGGTATTAATCCAAAACTGACGAAACGGCCGTCCAGTGCTTCCAGGTTTTCCATGGTGGTTTAGCTTCAACTGACTGATGATCTTAACCATTGAAATTACTATAATATCTAAAAAACCCATCTAATTTTAATAGTTGAAATCATGAGTTAATTGAAGCTGGATCATCATGGAAAATCTAGAAATATTAGATAACTGTTTTGTTCTATTTTGTGGAATTCCTCAGCAGTGTATATCCATGATCCCATCTCGTGAGACTCGAATCCAAGACCTATTTCATGATTATTAATCTAGTTCATAGTTATAGGGTTTTGATATGAGTTATAAAATAGATTAACATTCTGTTAAAATGTTTTTAGTTAATAACTGATAATAGTTTTATGATAGGTTAAGAGAAGAAGGTGAGTTCATGTTTTTTGCCAACATGATGTAATATTTTATGATGTTAGTTTTATTCTCAGTGTGATACATTGATATTGGTGTTAAGTTTGTCTTAAATGGTTCATACTCACTCCCTTTTCCACTCTTCTGTATATTGTTTTATACTACTTATTTACATTGAGTAAGCAGTTGTATTCCCAATAATTTTCAAACTTATGTTGTAATGCAAATTGTAGTGTAATACTCTGAAATGTTCACATATACTTATAACGTTTATTGGACTTATTATTGTATTTATCATTATAATAACTGTACCTTAATCGCTGTAGAGGTTATCCACAGTTTTGTGCATTTGGGTAAACGCAACAGTTACCATATTGTTTCGCTCTTGGTTCGGGTTTCGATTGTTCATAAACTGTTATCAAATTTAGACAAAGCTATTAGCTGTCCTTTGTACTATCGTATGTTGTAATTATTCTTTATGTTACTGTTACAGGAAGCCTTTTTATTTCATACTTGAAGGACGAGTTTGAAAGCCCCAGACACCTCACAAGTTGAGGATTGTAACTGAATTTTGTTTATCATTCAATAAAGAACCGCTATTGTAGACAAATCATTGTTTTGGAAACTTCGGTTTTGCGCGTATCTCAATCGGGTGACTTGGACGCTTCGATAGATCTAACAATTGGTTTAATTCTTAGTACAACATTTTGGTCAGTACTACATTAGTTTTATATTTTCTAGTGCAATATTATTCGAGGTCAATATATCTGTATCGATTAACTGTTGATTCTGTTCGGCATGACATGTATGAACTTCAGCCCAGTATAGCAATTATATCTTTTATATTATTTTGTATGAACATTGTGTTTTGCGGTAACCTTGTGTATCATTTCACGTATTTAATGTTTATTAGTTAGTCATCAAGTGTGTATAACATCAGAATATATATGAGTGTATTTGGTTTAATAATGTAATTATGGACAACTTGTTTTGGGGATGTAATTTTAGCGAGTCAACAAATCTTCATTTGTACCAATCTTTGTGTGGTTACTTCACACCGCGGGAATAAGAGTGGTTTGTTTTTCTAAGTATAAGTAGTAGGATCCGACAATAGACCCGACATGTACATAACAAATTCGAGGCTCATGTAGCACTTTAAAACAATAGCTATTGAAATTCTCACTTAAAAAGTAATTGTTTTTTGGAGGTTCAAAATCTTTGACGTTAACATCATACACATTGATAACTTATTAAGAACATTAGTTACTTACTTACTTACGTCTGTTACCCCTTATGGAGAAGTATAGGTCACGCACCAGCATTCTCGTCAAACTCTGTTCTAGGCAATCCTTTTCACTTGTTTCTAGTTTCTATCCATCCTTTTCATGTCTGCTTCCAATTCCAGACATACTGTGTTCTTCGACCTTCCTCTTTTCCTTTTCCCTTCAGGATTCCAGATTATCACTTGCTTCGTGCTATACTTTAGATGAAATAAACAGTTTTTCAACATCATTCCAAAAATTACAAGCTAATGTAAAATTTATAAATCTGTCTTAAAATTCTGTCAAGATTTATACATTATTAACAGAAAAACTATAAAATCAAATAAAATTATAAACAATAGTAAAGAGTTAAGTGGACTGATTTTGATAGCATGCATTCATCAGAATTGCTGATTTGTCGTTGAAATATTGCCTTAATTCACAAGCATTATAAGCAGAAATGAATGGTGGCTAGCAGTTAAATCCAGGACGAGAGTTTTGCCCCATGTTGGACTTATCAGCTGAATGTGCCTGTATCCCGAGATGATGTTCATTCAGGAACCCTGACAGTGACCTGATAGAAATCTCCCTATGGGTCTACAAACACAGTTAATTCCTTAATGCACGAACACCAAAGTTGGGAAGACCAATTTATCCTGTAGTGCGAAATTATAGAATTCTTCGGTAAAATATGAAACCATACATTATATTCATTTGTAAATCTTTCATCACTTGTCTCAAACTTCATCGCTCCTTTCACTGCTATTACTTTCTGTTTACATTTCAGTTCTCTTCAGTCCGATCTTTGCAACCTTCTGCTGTCAGGCTTTCCACATCCGACTGGTGTTACATATTGCTTACGTCGACAGACATAAGTAGCATACACCACAATTCTATGGGTTACAGGAAAACTGGTAATTTATATTAACTCCTTTCAAGATAGAAGTTTCAAAATAAATCATTATTCTATCCAGTAAAACTTTTGCATGTTTTCACGCTCTCTTTAGCACGTAACTATCTGGCTTTTCTTAGGATTTCTGTATACCTGCATCATCAAGACTTTCCAAAATATTGTGGCGGTAAATAAATCCCAAAATAAATAGCTCTGTAAGTTTTCGACTTTGGATGCTGACCACATTAGTTTTAATGGACTCACCTAGATGAAGGCGCTTGGTTATGTATCTTCACCAGATCACGAGTGGGAACGCCGTGCTCAACATCCTCTGCAATCGTTAGCCAGATTAGATCAGTCGATCCTCGATATATTGATAGCCTTTCAAATATATCTTCGAACCTCCTCGCTTCTGTCTTTTGATTCCACTTGGTGGGTACGATTCATAAAAGAAGGTGTTACTGGTCAGAGTGTTGTCAAACTCCGAATACCTGTGGCATCTTCAATATATTTATTGCTCACTTTTGTTTTTCGAAGTTGGCGTCATCAAAAATAGAGAATCTCGGTGGTATCTGCGTTTTACTAAGATGGATAGTTGGATCGCAAAGGTACCATTACCCCGGTAAACGATATCATCAGAGACTACTTTACACGCGAAGGGCTTTGCAATTATTTCACACCTCACCACCTGGTTGGTATAACTTATTATGATGTTGTTCTATATATATTGGTGTAGAGATTTTATGACAAACTAGTTTTGAAAATATTTCTTCGTTCTTTTCGTCTTTTTATCGAAAAACACTAAATAAGTTAAGCGTGGTGATTATTGCTTGTGATTGATTGTTTTTATTCGTCCTTATATTCTTGTTGACTGTATTCATTGATTGGCATCTAACTATTTAACCGAATGACCATTTATGGATGGGTTGATAGACTGGATATACAAAAGTCAGTCCATATATCACCTACCAATCTCATTGTCATGATTCTTGAAATTCTATGTCATTTTTTAGAATTTCTTCTAACTAGAATGTTTCCATTTTCTTAATCGAATTTATGTCCGTGGTTACTTACATGTATGAATATGAGTACTAACCACTCACGTTCCTACAATGAGAAAAAATGTCCGTGCAAAAACATTCCAAACAACCAGTGGAATATAATGTTGTGTCTGCCACTGATGGCGACAGATATAATAGTATGTATCACTAATCAGAATTGAAATCCCTGGTGGCAGAAGGTTAAGAAGATCGGAGACAAGAGAACGAGAACAGAGAGTGATTGTTGTGGAAACGAAGAAACAATGAAGTATTTACTATATGGTTCTCAGAGTTTACTAAGACGTTCTGTAATTTGTGTGTTCATATATATTCGATTGTCCCTACTTGTGTTCTCGTTCACTACAATATGACTAGTAATAATCTAGAATAAGGAAAGAAAATTGTGATTGACGCAGATATTATTAATTAAGTTGTTCATTGTCTTTTCAGGACAGTAACTCAAAAATAGCCTTCTTATGTGCTGTCAATAAAGTGATTTACATGAATAAACAGGTCAGGTGATATTATCAAAAGTCGTATATCTTTCATATATCTCAAAAACATAAGATAACGATCCAAAATTTTCGATCAAGGGATCGATAATAGTTTTTTTCATGAATTGATTCCACGCTTGGATGATGTGAGGACGGCCCACATTTGAACTCGAGGATGCTCTATGAAGCTCAGAAAGAGCCGAAGATATTTCATCCAATTATCTTCCGGAAGAATATTCCAGAATCTCTACGTGTAGCTTCCCTATTGGATAAATGCTAAAATACCCCTGTATAAGAAATGAATGATTATGATGATCA